TTCTTTCTTTCTTTCTTTCTTTCTTTCTTTCTTTCTTTCTTTCTTTCCTTTCTCTCGCTCTCTCTCTCTCTCTCCACCAGGGAAAGAAAAGCGGGCTTTTCGGAAGTACAAATCCGGAGGGACTTGGACACTATCTATAGATTATATTCTTCTTCTTCTTCTTCTTCTTCTTCTGATTTGCCATTTGGGGAGACCGCTCGACTCTGCCGGAGCCTCGGAACCGGCGGTTGGAGGAGGAGGCGAAGCGCGCCGGCGGAGCGAGGAGGATCTGGGCGAGAGGACCCGGGAAAAGCTGCGATGCTGCTGCGGCTGATCGCAGCAGCCAAACGGGCGCGATGAGATCCCTCCGAAGGCAGCAAACGGCGCGGCGGAAAAAAACACACACACACACACTCCACAGCCGAGACGCCGAGGAGCCGGAAAACGTCGGTGGGTCCCCTTTCCCCGTTCCTGAGACCGAAAGCGGCAAGATTTGGCCCAGCGGTTCTGCGCCTTCCTTGCTTCCTTGATCCTGCCTTTTGCGACCATCAACCCCCCCCCGCCTCCCGTTTTCAAGTCGTTTGGGGGGATCCAGGAGTCCCTGATTTTTTTAGTTTTTTTTTTAAAGAGACCATTCTCCAGGCAGGGAAAACAAAACAAAACCGTGTTTTGCTTGCCTTCCCTCTTTTGGGTTATTATTATTTTTTTCCTTTGAAGCTTCTCTGGATCTTTGGCATCGTGCGAAGGGTTTGATTTTTTAAATATATATATATATTTGGAAGAAACCGCTACTGCATTGGGAAAAGGGGGCTGATCTTTTCGCTCCTTACGGTCGCCTCCAGAAGGGAAGGGGGGATTTTAAGCGTTTTGCTCATCCCTCCGCCTCGCTGAAGTTGGACGGAGCAAGGGGAAACTGCAGCACGGAGGAGGAGGAGGAGGAGGAGAGGAGGAGGAGGAGGAGGAGGAGACGAGGACTAGGGGGAAAAAAAGAGAGACCCCCCCACCCACCCCTTTCCCTGGCCGCTGGTTGTAGTCTCGACCGCCCTTTGCCGGCTTCGTCCATGGTGGTGCCGGCGCCGAGTCGATCGTGCCGAGCAACAGGTTCGGGAACTTGAAGGGGGGAGAGCGAGAGGAGGAGGAGGAGGAGGAGGACGCCGCGGAGGGACGCGCCGATCGGCTACAAAGGACAGGCGCCAACGCGGCGGCGGCGGCGGCAGCGTTGGCCGAGAGGCGGCCTCGTCCGCGCCGCCCGCTGGGATGTCCCTCTCCGCTTGGTGCTTCCTCCTCTGCTGGGCTCCAGCCCTGGCCTTAAGGAACCTGAACTATTCGGTGCCGGAGGAGCAAGGGGCCGGCACGGTGATCGGGAACATCGGCCGCGATGCCCGGCTGCAGTCCGGGTCGAGCGGCGGATCGCCCTCGCTGGAGCGTCCCCGCGGCTCCAAGGCCACTTTCCGCGTGCTGGAGAACTCGGCTCCCCACCTGCTCGACGTGGACGGCGAGAGCGGCTTGCTCTACACCAAGCAACGCCTCGACCGGGAGGCTCTGTGCCGCCGGAGCGCCAAGTGCCAGCTCTCCCTCGAGGTCTTCGCCAACGACCAGGAGATCTGCATGATCAAGGTGGAGATTCAGGATCTCAACGACAACGCGCCGGCTTTCCCCTCCGACCAAGTCGATCTGGACATCTCGGAGAACGCCGCGCCGGGCACTCGCTTCCCGCTGGCTAGCGCGCACGATCCCGACGCGGCCGAGAACGGCCTCCGCACTTACCTGCTCACCCGCGACGATTACGGCCTCTTCGCCCTGGACGTCAAAGCCCGAGGCGACGGCACCAAATTTCCCGAGCTGGTGGTGCAGAAGCCCCTGGACCGCGAGGAGCAGAGCCACCACACCTTGGTGCTGACGGCGCTCGACGGCGGCGAGCCGCCTCGCTCCGGCACGGTCCAGCTCAACGTGCGCCTGATCGACTCCAACGACAACAGCCCGGTCTTCGAGGCGGCGTCCTACGTGGTGGAGCTGCCCGAAAACGTCCCGCTGGGCACCGTCCTCCTAGACCTCAACGCCACCGATGCCGACGAGGGCACCAACGGCCAGGTGCTCTATTCCTTCAGCGGTTACACGCCCGACCGGGTGCGGGAGCTGTTCAGCATCGATCCCCAGACGGGATTGATCCGGGTCAAAGGCAACCTGGACTACGAAGAGGGCAACTTGGTGGAGATTGATGTTCAGGCCCGGGACTTGGGTCCCAATCCCATCCCCGCCCATTGCAAAGTCACAGTGCATTTACTGGACCGGAATGACAACGCGCCCACCATTGGCTTTGTCTCTGTGCGCCAGGGGGCCCTGAGCGAGGCCGCCCCGCCGGGCACCGTCATTGCCCTGGTGAGGGTCACAGACCGGGACTCTGGGAAAAACGGGCAGCTGCAGTGCCGGGTGCAAGGCAGTGATGGCAGTGGGGGGGATGGGGCGGTGCCCTTTACTTTGGAGGAGAACTATGACAACCTGTACACTGTGGTGACCGACAGGCCCTTAGACAGGGAAGTGCAGGATGAATACAATGTGACCATCTTGGCTCGGGATGGGGGCAACCCACCTCTGAACTCAACCAAGTCTTTCTCGGTCAGGATCCTAGATGAGAACGACAACCCACCACGTTTTAGCAAGAGCCTTTATGTGTTGCAAGTGCCTGAGAACAACATCCCAGGGGAGTATCTGGGATCCGTGTTGGCCAAGGACCCTGATCTGGGCCAAAATGGCACCGTCTCCTACTCCATCCTGCCGGGACATGTGGGGGACGTCTCTATTTATACCTATGTCTCGGTCAACCCAACCAATGGGGCCATCTACGCTTTGCGCAGCTTCAACTACGAGCAGACCAAACATTTCGAGTTCCACGTCTTGGCCAAAGACTCGGGCTCTCCTCACCGGGAGAGCAATGCCACTGTCCGGGTCACGGTCTTGGATGTCAATGACAACGCCCCTCTCATTGTCTTGCCAGCCCTGATCAATGACACTGCTGAACTCCAGGTCCCCCGCAACGCCGGAGTGGGCTACCCCGTGGGCACCGTCCGGGCCATGGATAACGATTTTGGGGAGAGTGGACGCCTGACCTATGAGATTGTGGAAGGCAATGAGGAGCACCTCTTTGAGATGGACCCTATGAGCGGGGAGATACGCACCCTTCACCCTTACTGGGAAGAGCTGAGTCCTGTGGCTGAACTCGTGGTGAAGGTCAGTGACCATGGAAAGCCCAGCCTTTCAGCAGTGGCCAAGCTGATTGTCCGGGCCTTGGCTGGACCTTTGCCTGAAGCTGGAGAGCCCCAGGTCAATGGGGAGCAGCACCGCCGGCCGCACTGGGACCTCTCGCTGCCCTTGATTGTGACCCTCAGCACGGTTTCCATCATCCTCCTGGCTGCCATGATCACCATCGCTGTGAAGTGTAAGCGGGAGAACAAGGACATCCGTACCTACAACTGCCGTATTGCTGAGTACAGCCACCCCCAGTTGGGTGGAGGGGGTGGGGGAGGGGGAGGGGGTGGGGGCAGCGGAGGGGGCAAGGGCAAGAAGAAGAAGATTAGCAAGAATGACATCATGCTGGTGCCCAGCGAAGGGGAGGACAGCCAAGGGCCCCTCAACGTCATGAACGTGGTCAGCAGCCCATCCTTGGCCACCTCACCCATCTATTTTGATTACCAGACTCGCCTGCCCCTTAGCTCACCCAGGTCAGAGGTCATGTTCCTGAAACCGGCTTCCAACAACCTGAGCGTGCCCCAAGGCCACGTGGGATGCCACACCAGCTTCACAGGACAAGGGACTAACGTCAGTGAGGTTCCTCCAAGCCGGATGTCCATAATTCAGGTAGGAGACTTTGAGAGATAACCTAGAAGAACAACAACTATTACTACTACTACTTCTCCTCCTCTTCCTCCTCCTCCTCCTTCCCCTCCTCCTCTTCCTCCTCCTTCTCCTCCTTCTTCTCCTCCTCCTCCTCCTCTTCTTCCTCCTCCTCCTCCTCTTCCTCCTCCTCTTCTTCTTCCACCTCCTCCTCCTTCTTTCTTCTCACTTTGCATTTTCTATCTGCAGTGACACCTGCCGAGAAGCAACCGGACAGGTGTTGGGACAAAGGTGACTTGGTTCTGAGGTCCTTGCTAGGATTAGGCCATGATCTTCTGTGTAGCCCTTCCGTAGCAAGGTGAAAAAAAATGTTTGCTAGAAAACAGAGCGTCAGGCAGCTTAGCATTGCAGCGCTCCGAAACTGGAGCAGGTCTGTCAGATTTAGCCTCTAGTCGATCCAGTCTTGCCTTTGGGGTTTGAACGTGGATCAGCCTGGGTGGGTTGTTCTTACAGGTTTCTCTGTCTGTGTCTTGAGGAAAGTAGAAAAACCGTTATTTGTTCCAAACTGGAGGAGGTAGAGTAGCTAGGGCACAAACATGGTTTCAAAGTCCTGCACAAGTAGCTCCTTTAGTGTGTATATGCTGATGTTCTGCTTGCAAAACCTGTATATTTTGATATTTCCATCCAGTTCAATCACATCCATCAAATCATAAGGTGTTTTTTTTTCCCCTTGACTAAACATAAAATAGACATTTCCTGGGACAACAGATCTGTTTTATCATGGGCAATCCAAGCCCACGTCCCTCACCTCCCCCCACACCAAAAAAGCTGTGTTTAGTTTACTTGGTATGGTGCACCCCAAATTAAAACCTCGCATTTCTGCAGAAAAAGGCTTTAAAGCCTCAGCACGTATTAGCGACATGATATCAAGACTGGGCAGTAGACTTTACACGTTGCATGGACGGTTGCCGCTTGCTAGCAAGCTGCAACCTGAGCAGTGTGACTTGCATGAGTAAATAGCTTAAGCACAAGCCAGAACCCCTCAAAAACAATTTTTAATGTCAGCTGCTGTTCTCTTAGATGCAGTGGAGCCTCTCTCCACCCTGCAGGGTGATCAAATTCTCCAAGTCTTGGAGTAGAACAGAATCCAGTGAGGCAATAATAATAATAATAATAATAATAATAATAATAATAATAATAATAAAATGAATATGTGTAAACTACCGCTTAAATGGTTAGTTTGCTTATTCTGCAACCATGCTGACAAATTCTGTGTTGACTTGCAACCGATGCTGGAAGACTGTGCTATGCCATGATTTAGTCTAGCCAAGCATTGGAAAATCAGAGAGAGGGAGAGAGAGAGAGAGAAAGAGAGAGGGAGAGACTAAGCTTTACAGATTTACTCTGTAGAGAAATGTTGCAGGAAGAAAAATGCACCATCATCTTCATCATCATTTTCTAGCAGGGAAAGTGGCAAAGTATAATTCACTTGAACTAAAAAAAAGGAAGGGGATATTTTACACACACACACACGCGCGCGCGCGCACGCGCACGGCCCTATGTATTTCAGAGCTAGCGCTTCTGATTTTACAGGAAAGAAATGGGTTTCAGAAGGCAGCTTCCCAACATGCAAGAAGAAGAAGAAATGAAACAGAGCAGATTTTAAATGAGTTTGAACTGCTCCTTTTAACTGGTGTTCAGAGAACCTGTTAAATATATATATATATATATATATATATATATATGCTCCCAACCAAGACTGAAATCTGAAAATCCTACCCGTTCATAGTTCTACAAACACAGACTGTAGTGCACACTGTGCGACCCTCTTGAACTGTGTGTGTGTGTGTGTGTAATTGTCTTCCTTTGTGTGTAGCAGACAAGCGAACCTGATGGTGTTCCTATCAAAATACTGTGCAGGGAGAGCCCTGAGCTAATGGCTGTTGAACACATGGCCCATGTCACTTGTTTTGTCTTCTAATACTCTCTACTGAATCACAAGGGAGGGACTGGAGTGTATCAAAAGTGACAAAGGCTGATTTTTGTTCCTGGTTCCAAATTTAATGGGAGGAAAGGGCTTATCTTGTTCCTTGACACAGTTCATGAAGGCTGTTTTTTGTTTTGTTTTTTTCAGTAGAACTCCTGGCACACCAAAAGACTAACAGAGTTGGAAAGGACCTTGGAGGTCTTCTAGTCCAACCCCCTGCTTAGGCAGGAAACCCTATATCATTTCAGACAAATGGTTGTCCAACCATCTTCTTAAAAACTTCCAGTGTGAAAGCATTTACAATTTCTGGAGTCAAGTCATTCCACTCATTAATTGTCACTAACTGTCAGGAAAATTCAGACTCTCTTTTTGTTAAACGCTTGTGATTACCATTTTCTTTCTTCTTTTTGATTTATTTTTCCATGCTTGCTAGGGAGCAAACCACTTTGGCAATAGCAAAGGGAGGTATTTTGGTGAGTAAACATGCTTTGGGGTTGAGCTTGGAAGCATCTCTTCCAAAGCCTTCACTTGTCCATGTTAAGGAACCTTCTGCCTTAATCTTGTGTAACTAACAGGCAGCAGGAAGGTATCCTTGACCAGTTAGATCCCTCAAAGTTTGATGGCCATTGATCTGATCTCATGGATTTTGAACTTGGAGATCCAAAGAGCCAAATAGTTTATTCCTATGGGACACTGTAAGCTGTAACATTAGGAGACTAGGTTCCTATGAATGGAAACTTCTCCTAGAATGTCCTCCTTCAGTGGAAGCGATCTCTTTCCTTTTTAATTTCTTCCAGTCTTGTGATATTTTTGGACTGCTGATCCCACCCAGTTTGGTTTTCACTCTTATGGGTATTTTGCTAGCCCATCATTGTCCAGCAAAGCACAAAGGTACACCTGACTATCTTCCCTGTTTCTTTTTCTTAGAAGGCATCTCTGATGGCTTTGCCACCAGCTCCGAGGACTGAACTCCATCCCAGTGTTGCCTTTTAGGTAGACATTACTGGCTTCTGTGCAGAAATTCAGGAGAGACCTTTTTTTTTTCCCTTTGGCTCAGAGAGAGAAAAAAATATCTTGGCCATCTTTGTTTTTTTGGACAGGAAAATTTATATGCAGAGCTGAGGAGCAGAAATTTTCAACACAGAAGCCAAAAGAATTATGCTTTTTAATCAGTGTCCACTGCTATGCAAGATCCCTGATCTATCTATCTATCTATCTATCTATCTATCTATCTATCTATCTATC